GCCCGCATTGATGGACAGGTTGTGTCCCAGTTTTCTCGCGCTGCTGAAACAGAAATGCCACAAGCAGGTGGCTTGGAAGAACATTTATTTTCTTACCACTCAGGAGGCCAGAAGTCCGCACTCTGGATGCTGGCTCATTGAAGGCTCTCTTCCAGATAGTTCTGAAGGAAGAAGATTCTTGTCTCTTTCGGTGTCTGTGTCCCCGGAGTTCCTCCGTCCCTTGGCGGTCTTCACCTGGCACCTGCGTTCCCCTTGTTTGTGCTTATATTCCTGCGTCTAATGGACCCTCTTTGTAACTCCGAAGGCATTTCCTTGGCGCACACTTTACACTGATATGGACGCATGGATAAAACAGACAACCCTCTTTCCAAACGGGATTATATTCACAGTGTAATCTATCACAAGGTGCCTCCAGTCCTTTGTAGGAAATAAGACCACAAGGAATAGCCTTGACTGGTCTCATTCTGTACTGGTGCAGATTTATTTCTGGGATCAATTCTCAAAAGCAGGATCGCAGGGCCCAAGGGTAAATGAATTAGTAACGGATCATTTTGATTGAATTGCTAAATGGAGGTTGTGCCGTGCTGCACTCCTAGACTAACAGAGTTTCTTGTCAGATTGGAGAGTTTGCCCATCTGATAAATGAGAACTGGTCTTTTAGTCATTTTCTTTCCAGTTTGTCCTATCTCTTTATATCTAAGGGCCGGCTGTGGGTTTTTTTCTTGCTCCATGAGCAGTCTAATTTTGTTCCGTGCCCATATTTATATTGGTCTCCTCTTCTTCTCAAAGGTTATGAGTTTTATATATTAGGGAGAGAAGTCCATTATCTGTGATAGGCATTTCTACAAGTTTACCATTTCTTTTTTGATATACCGTTTGGCGATTTGTTCTATTATATGTGTGAGTATGGACAAATATATAGTTCAAAACGCTTGGGAGAAAATGACATTCTTTTTCAATTTCGTATTTCTGTGAACATTTCGAAGCCCTCTCATATGCACAAGCATGCACATGTAGAATTTTTTATTCATTTTGGGGAAGGTGGGGGGCATGCAGAACCATTTGGGCTGAATTTATCCTTTTTTTTTTTTTTTTGGCTCCTGAATTTTTTAAATCTTCATTTCAAAGGCCCCCGTCATCCTGAGGCTGTGAAGAGATCCCCATGTATGACTCTTTTTGTTTTTTTAATCCTTTTATTGGGGGCTCATACAATTCTTATTACCATCCATCCATTGTGGTACGACTCTTTTTACCACAAAAATGCAATTCCTTTTAGTCAGCATTATACCTCTAAGGGATCCATTTCTTTCAGTGCAATGATCCTCTTGCGAAAATACCAGGGAGATGATCAACTCGGGCACTAACGTCTGAGAGGGTCCTGTGATTAGAAGTCACAAAGGTGTCCTTTTGACCCCTGAGTGGGAGAACTATAACATCCACGCTGCTGGCTATACTTAAACGACTAGACAATCCAGATAACCCGGAGCTGCTTTTTCCTAGGCAAGTGACCCCGACCTAACACACCCCACGGGGCTCCAGCCCAGTGATGGGCTTCTGGACGACTGCGGCAAACCCTCCCGGGAAAAGACCGGTGACTGGAAGCTGCAGTCTCGAAAAAGGACGCAGACACTCCCTAACCGGAAATGTTTCTTGGCGTCGGCTCTGCACAGTGCCAACAGCGGCAAAGTGGAGATCTTTAAAAATGAGTTCTGGTCGCCCTCGGAGACCAAGGCCCGGGAAGGGCACCAGAGAACACAGTCTCAAGATTGGCGCCACCTGCCTGACTTCCAGCGGACTTCTACCTACGACAACGTCCCTGCGCTCCCGGCATCCCCTGAGGGCAAAGCGAGCGTGCCCTCTTCCCAAACCTGTGACTCCAAGACAGATACTCAGACCAGCCCCGCCGCCGCCGGGCCAGGAGCCAAGGACTCTGCAGAAGACGACCCCGAGTCTTCCCAGAGAATGGTCCAGGAGCTCCGGAAGGAAATCGAGAGGCAGAAGCAGCTGTACGAAGAACAGATTAAAAAGTAAGTCACTGAGCGGGTCATCAAGGAGCCTCTGGCTTCCATTTGAAGAAGCAGTAGAAGTGGGTCTCATCTGCCCACCAGGCGACGTGATACGTCTTTCATTCAGAGAATACAATGAAGGCAGTTGACCTTAAGAAAGATGAATGGGCTATGAGAACGAGTGAAAACGCTAACATTATATATATTTCTATATTATTTAATATATAAACTAATTATTTAATATAATTCTTTAATATAATTCAATATATTTATAAATATAAATTTATACTATATATATTTCCTTACGTAGCTTGATAAAGTAGTTCTAAGTAGTGGCTCTGTCAAGGTCAACTGACTTTAATGGATAGAAGAATTTCTCAATTTTAAAATTTCAACCCCATTCATCAATTCCACAAATACTTCTCGAGCATCAAAGATAGGCCAGGCACCTCTCCAGATGCAGGGAAATAGCTCAATTTTCATTGTCCCAAGGGGACAAAGAATACAAACAAGCAGTTAAAATGCTAAGGAGTAAAGAAAGCAGAGCCGGGAGCCAGAT